TTCTGACCAAACGTAATTCTGATAAACATCAGTCGGAGACGAACATGATTCCAAAGAGGAATTCTCAACTTTTACAGATTCTCCGAAATTTTTGGCAGGTGTAGGGGTAGTTTGAGGTGAAGATGACGAAGAAGGCAAATTCTCCACTTTTATAGGTTCTTCTGGAATAACTTTGTCTTCGGTACCGTTTTTCTTTTCTGACTCTGAAGGTTCATTACAGGGTGCATCAAGCAAAGAATTCATAATGCCATGTCTCTTTTTAAAACGGTGCAGCCAGTTATTAGTATCCTTGATACTGAGTCCCATACGTGTTAGAAGAGCATTAAACTCCGATCTCAACTGGAGCTGTTGTACATTAATACCACTGGATCTTTGTTGATTATACCACTTATACAGAGCTTTATCTAAATTTGCGTTTTTCGAATGTTGCAAGCGTTTTTTATTCCTTATTGTTGAAGCATTTAATTTAGAAATGTTGCGATGAGTAGAAGTAGTTGGAGGCGAAGATGACGAAGAAGGCAAATTCTCAACTTTTATAAGTTCTTCTGGAATAACTTTGTCTTCGGTACTGTTTTTCTTTTCTGACTCTGAAGGTTCACTACAGGGTGCATCGCGCAAAGAACCCTTAATGCCATATCTTATTTTAAAATTGAGCAGCCAGTGATTAGTATGTTTGATACTGAGTCCCATACGTGTTACAAGAGCACTAAACTCCGATCTCAACTGGTGCTGTTGTACATTAATACCACTGGATCTTTGTTGACTATACCACTTATACAGAGCTTTATCTAAATTTTTATTTGGCCCAAAATTTATGCGTATTTTATTCCCTATTGTAGAAGCATGTAATTTAGAGCTATCAATATTGTGTGTTAAAAAAAACTTTTGTAATTTGGGCTTTGATTTCCTGATACGTGAGACAGTCGTTGAGTGTATGCCATACATGTTACAAACTTCCGTCACTGAGGTGCCTTGTTCCAACTTCTCGATTAGTTGTAATTTCTGCGCCACACTCAACTCCACGTATTTTCTCTTGACCTTCATATTGTTTGGTGCCATTTCGAACTGTAAGGATTGCAAAATTATTATTTTATAATAAAAATTATTTAGGAAATAACTTACAATTTAGAAATCGCAGAAAAATTCTGTGTACAACATGAAGACTTTGAGGTAGACTGAAATCAAAACAAAGTATGTTTATTCCACGCTACCCAAAACAAATGTGATATGATCCGCACACGTATCGACACTTAAGGTGCATACACATGTACCCTGTTTGTATTGGTCCAGTTTGTGCGAAAATCCCTAAAACAAATTAAGACTTAAGGACAGGCACGCAACAGAGGCAAAATATTGGGAATAAGAATTAATATTGGATATTACAAGGGAAAAAAGAGAGAAATTAAGTATAATGCACAATGAAATGTTCACAATGATAGACGTAAAAGATATTACTATAAGAATTGCGTTATGTAGTATTTGCGCCGTAAGAATTTACACTATATACGTGCTCTCCAAAATACCAGACTTTGCACACACGTTCCAATTTAAAGTCAATTAATTCCGAGAAACTTGTCGCGAATGAATTTTCCAAAACTGATTCTTTTTACTACGCAGTGAGAAATGATTCGTCGAAACGATATCTTCGATCGACGAGTTATTTCTCGTTGGGCACTTTTCTTTGTGTAAGAAATTTTTTAATTATAAAGGAAATTAAAATTTCTTCGCATGTTCAACTTATGATTAACTTCTAGGGTTGTAATCGAGTTTTAGTTTTGGACTCATATTGTTTTACATTACAATTTTATAATTAACTTATATTTAACTAATTCACGCTTTATATGGCGATCGTGGCGCAGAGAGTTAAGCGCTGTTCTAGTGAGCCGAGGCTCCGAGTTCAAATCCGACTAGAAATTGTCGGTTTTTATTCAATTGTCACTTGGCGATTGTGGCGTAGAGGGATGTGCGCTGCTCTAATGACTCAGAGTTTCAAAAAAATCCAACCAAAAAACATCGTTAGGTTTCATTCAATCGCCACCTCTCGGAAGGAAGAGGTAATCCACCAAGAGTATATCTCACAGACCATTAATTGACCTTCTACGTCTCTAAAAACATGCGATGGTAATAGAATTTAGGAAGGATGATCCTAAGAAAATAATGATTTGAAGTGTATCAAGAACTTATATCTTTCTCTTAGCACACTCCTTTGTTAACGTTTTGTATCTCATAGAAACATGCGAGAATTCTTCCAGTAATTTCATATACTTCTCCCTAACTTTTTGTTCTTGTCAAACATTTGATCCAGTTCCTTCACAAATTCGGTAATTTAGTCTACATTATTGTCATACTATACACTGATAAAACTCAATACAAATTTACGAAGAAATTTCACTCATTTCTTGGTAAATTGTCCTGAATTTTCATGAGTTTTTACATATAATTTGCATTTTTTTCCATTGGTTTCTCTACAAATACAAGAATATTATAAAAAATTATTTAAATCTGGTATTTTTAGTCACATAATTTGTAAACTAGCTTCCGGTTCATCCATAACATTTCATACATATGTCTTGAATTTCACTTCTATACAGTAAATTTACAGTCCGACATGGAATTTTACTCTCTTGTTAGTGATATCGCAGTATTTCAGTAAAGTGGAGTGTGCGCAATAGAGAATTTCATGATCCTAGTATGCTGTGCGCGCCGTAAATTTACTATTTAATTTCTCTCTTTTCTCTCTTCTAATATTCAGTATTAATTCTTGTTCCTAACATATATGTTTTTTATTGCACGCAGACCTGTAATCTTTCATTTGTTTTACGGATTTTTGAACAAACTGGACCAATAAAAACAGGGTACATGTGTATGTACCTTAAGGTGCGTATACACTACGGCGAACAAACGGCGAACGAACGGCGAACGCGAATGTTCGGACGTTCGTATTCGTATACGTGACTCATTCGTTAGTTCTCTTCTTTGTATCGAACGTTCGCATTCAAAAGCGTTCGCCACATATTCGAAATTCGCTATCAAATCTAACCAAATATAATGTAAATAGAAATAGCAGACAATATAACAATTATTATTGCAAGTGCATCGTTAATAGTACTTGCAGGTTTGCTAAAAAAGAAAAAAAACTCGCTTTCAACCACAGATGTAAACAGCGATCAACAGCGAACAGCGAAACATCAACAAATCCCGTCCACACTGCGCACGAACTTTCGACTCGGACCGAAGGCGAATCGAACACTACCGATAGTTCAGTTCGCATTCGCTGTGGTGTACACATCTGTCTAATTCGCTGTTCGTTCGCGCGCCGTTTGTTCGCCGTAGTGTATACGCACCTTTAAGTGTCGATACGTGTGCGGATCATATCACATTTGTTTTGGGTAGCGTGGAATAAACATACTTTGTTTTGATTTCAGTCTACCTCAAAGTCTTCATCTTGTACACAGAATTTTTCTGCGATTTCTAAATTGTAAGTTATTTCCTAAATAATTTTTATTATGAAATAATAATTTTGCAATTCTTACAGTTTAAAATGGCACCAAACAATAAGAAGGTGAAGAGAAAACGCGTGTTCTTGAGTGTGGCGCAGAAATTAAAACTAATCGAGAAGTTGGAACAAGGCGCCTCAGTTACGGATGTTTGTAACATGTATGGCATACACCGAAATACTGTCTCGAAAATCAGGAAATCAAAGTCCAAATTACAAAAATTTTTTTTAACACACAATAGTGATATCTCTAAATTACATGCTTCTACAGTAGGGAATAAAAGACGCATGGAATTTAGGCCATATACAAATTTAGATACAGCTCTGTATAAGTGGTATAGTCAACAAAGAGCCAGTGGTATTAATGTACAACAGCACCAGTTGAGATCGGAGTTTAGTGCTCTTGTAACACGTATGAAACTCAGTCTCAAGCGTCCTGCGGACTGGCCGAGTACTTTTAAAACGAGACATGGCATTGTGGATTCTTTGATCGAGGCATCCTGTAGTGAACTTTCAGAGTCAGAAAAGAAAAATAGTACCGAAGACAAAGTTATTCCAGAAGAACTTATAAAAGTTGAGAATTTGCCTTCTTCGTCATCTTCGCCTCCAACTACTTCTACTCATCGCAACATTTCTAAATTAAATGCTTCAACAATAAGGAATGAAGAACGCTTTCAACATTCGAAAAACGCAAATTTAGATAAAGCTCTCTATAAGTAGTATAATCAACAAAGATCCAGTGGTATTAATGTACAACAGCTCCAGTTGAGATCGGAGTTTAATGCTCTTCTAACACGTATGGGACTCAGTATCAAGGATACTAATAACTGGCTGCACCGTTTTAAAAAGAGACATGGCATTATGAATTCTTTGCTTCATGCACCCTGTAGTGAACCTTCAGAGTCAGAAAGGAAAAACAGTACCGAAGACAAAGTTATACCAGAAGAATCTATAAAAGTTGAGAATTTGCCCTCTTCGTCATCTTCACCTCCAGCTACTTCAACACCTACCAAAAATTTCGGAGAATCTGTAAAAGTTGAAAATTTCTCTTCAGAATCATGTTCGTCTCCAACTGATATTTATCACAATTACGTTTGGTCAGAATATGATATTAAATCTGAAGGTTTCCCATCACCTTCAGATGATAAATCCTCAGATGACAAATAAAGACTTGCTATCACTATAAAAGTTACAGCAAAACTGTCTCTCTTCGACTATTTTCTTAATCAACAAAGAGTATTTATAATGATATAATTTAACAATTTTATATTGTTTAGTCCTGTGTATCATATATTGAAGCAGTTTTGTATTAAACGCATTAATAAAAGATAAAAGTGGCATTTTATAACATTATATACAAGAAATACATCAAGATGTGTTATCAGTTTCTGACCGTTTACTTGTATGTTATTTCATTACTATGGATTAGATTAATTGAAATAGGAAAATATTAAATACACATTGCTTAAATTCACAAGCTGAAATATAAATATTCGTGGGCTACCACTATATAACGCAATACTTATAACAATATATTTTATTTCTTTTATTGTTCGTTATACTTAATTTCTCTTTTTTCTCCCTTCTATGTTAATTCTTATTCCTAATATTGGCTCTATTGCGTGTCGGCCCTTAAGCCTTGATTTGTTTTAGGGATTTTTAAATGAACCTAACAAATAAAAACAGGGTACATATGTATGAACTTTAAGTTTCAATACGTGCGAGTTATATCACATTTGTTTTAGGTATCGTGGAATAAACTCGTTGTGTTTCGATTTTAGTCTGTCTCAAAGTCTTCATGTTGTGTACGGAGTAATTCTGAATAAATTTACAGTCCGACATGGAATTTTACTCTTTTGTTTGTGATATCGCAGTATTTCAGTAAAGTGGAATGTGCGCAACAGAAAATTTCATGATCCTAGTATGCTGTGCGCGCCGTAAATTTACTATTTTAAAGGGAATGTTACAATAAATCATGTATTTTTAACATCAAACAGTAAACTGAAAAATATTTAACGGAAACTTAATTTCATTTGAATGGTAATTTTAACGTTTTGAAGTAAAATTACAAATCACTTCGTATTTTAACAGCGTAATTCGAAGATTAAAAATGACCACCGATTTTCACAGTAAAATAAGGTTCAAATTTTTATTAGTGTAGTAGAGAGAATTCGCAGAGTTTTAGAAGCAATTCCCAGCTTTGAAGATAGCGAGTGCAATTTTACAGAATTAATTTCTCCTCGCAGAAGGTAGTTCCTTTCAATTCACCTACTTTCTGCCGCGGAGCCGGCAACGGCCACCGGAAATTTGTTGCAACAGAAAGCGGCCTCTCGGCTTTCGGCAAAAGGATTAATCGCTTCCCGATTCCGTCCTTTGTAGATGCGTCGAGGACGCACAGCAGGAATGCACACCGACTACTCGCGCTACGTCCTCGTTGCCGATCGATTCGGGCCTGCCCGCGCGAGCCTCCATGCTCGCCAGCCTCCGCACCGTTTCGATCAGATCGCTCAGAGAGACTTGATTGTCGCCGTCGAAATCTGGAAATGAAGATGATCAGCGTGGTCGCTGTTTGCGTTCACGCACTCGAAACAGACGAGTTTGCGAGTACGTGTATAACATTGCCGAATAAAATTGCCTATCGCAAAAAACAGAACTCAGTGGACAATGCGAAGAATTATCTTGCGATCTGTAGTCTGTACATGCAGTTGAAAATGAAATATTGCTCGGTACTGATTTAAAATTGGCGTTTTTTTAAGGATAAACTAAAAATAATTTAATCTAAGTGATTAGAATTTCCTCACTTTCAATAAAGTTCGAAAAATATTGCTTTAAATTTTTAAAATAATAAACTAATCTTTTTTTAATAATGCTATAACTATGCATCTAGTGTCATATTATACAGTGATTTATTTCCCGTCAAATTGTGCGTCACATTATCTAAGTTAATATAAGCGACATTTATTATAAACCAAGGAGATAAATTTGAAATTTAAATGATGGAAACTAGAGTACATCTCTCGGATTTGACTGAAGATCGCGCAAAATGATACTTTCCATACTGCATAACACGATCCAATTTATCTGAATGGAGTCGCAGTTGCATCGGCAGATTGCTGCGAGAGCGCGTTTCCATTTCTACGGTAATTGACGTGGCTCCGCGAAATTAAACGATCCCGATTAACGAAATCGACTGCGAGCCGTCGTTTACTATTATGCGAAAGCTCGACGACAGTCTATAAACTTGTATCCCTTGCGCATTATCGTAATTATAATATCGGGGCACCTCGATAAATTTCGTTCAAGACAAACTGGTTGATATATTTTGCAAAGTAACATACATATTTAATTTTTTCAGAAGTCGTTAAATTTAACTGCCATTCCAAATAGCACAGATGATCGTTGCGAATTCACTTTTTAACATTCTTTATGAATCAACGTAATCTGTTCAAAATGGACTTCTTTCCGGTAGTATTAAAAGGATTATTCTTACAAAGTATAAAAAGAATTTCTTTTGTATCCGAAAAAGAGCTCAGAGTTGGTGACGTAAAAGCAAATTTCTTTTAAACTCTTCACTGAAAAAAACCTAGCAATTGCAACAATTTTTTAAGTACGAAAAAAATAACTGAAATACATAAATGAATAGCCAATACTGTGAAACCGCGTGTGTTTTATATTTAATCAATTTAAATATCAGAAACAAAATTTATATCTGACGTGTTAACGAATGTTAGGAAGAAAGTCTTTCTGTGGCGCTCATCCATTATAACGTTTGATTGTGACACATACAACAGTTATATTCCTTACAAACATTGTTCTAGTTATGGTACCGAAATTCATTTTTAACCAAGTAAATGATTAATATTTAATCACGAAACCTAAACATTCCAGAAGATTTTATTAGAATATTGCTGCTATAAATTTTTCAGACTACAATTTTCTAACAGATACAAAAAATAGCGATAAATTTTTGTCGCGATTGCTAGAAATCTACCTGTGTTAGTAAGATTTTTTTTCTTGAGTATTAAGCCCGTATCAGACTATGGATTGAAATTGAGATTAGATTGACATTTGATCAGAGTAAAGTTTACTAATATCGAGTTTAATGAATTTTACTCTGATTGGTCAAATTTTAATCTCATTCCGTAATCTGACACGGGTTTTAAGAACTTTAGAATAAAAATAGAATGAAAAAGAAATTTATTTTATAATTGGGCAATTGAGAAAGTATTTCTTTTTGATTCTCTGTGCTATCTAGGTTGCTTTGGTGTCTCGGCGAAATGTATATACGTTTAGAAGAGTGCCTTCGAGATAATTTTTTTCTCCCCCCTCCAACCAGCAAACAAAGAAGTTTTGTAATTGTATTTTTGACGGCTGAGGCTTTGTCCGCGGGTATGTTTAATAAGCGTGTAGGATTGGCGGATGGCAAATATTTGCCGGGACGAAAGTTAGAATTTCGCTCGCGTACAAAAACCTGCGGATGTAGATTCAATTGCGCGAGCTTACCGAAAATTTCAAAAGCCCAGGCAGCTCGAACGTCCTGCGGACAATTCGCGGAGAACACCGAGCAGAGGTCGAGGGTGTTCCCGAAGCTCAAACATCCGTCCCGCCTTGATGAGAATACGCAGTATATCGCGTCGTGGAATGGACTGCACTGAAAATCACACATTCTTCTACGAACTTTTCTCTTTCTTTAAAAAAAACGAATTGCATCAAGAAATAAGAGCATTCGAGTTATTCTTTTTTGTTATTTAAGAACTTTTGATTTATACTTACTTTTTCCCTTGCTTATCGTTGCAATATATCGAATTGTATAATAATCATTTTAATTAAATCTTGAAAATTAATATTGATCAATAAAAATAACAATTTTCTTTTAATAAATATTTTCAAAATAAAAAATGAAATTAATCCATAATTTCCCATTTTTAATACACCTGATAAAATTATAAATTTCTAAATAGATGATCCTTTTTGCTTATTAAATATGTTCAAGGAACATATTGCATTCTATTAAATTGCGAAGAGTAATAATTTAAATTAAATTTTAATAAATAAATTTTAATAAATTAATCTGATCATTAGGACGGTCATTTTGATATTTGGTAAAAATGGTATTGGAAGAGTACAATATGCTTCGTTCTTCGTATCGCAGTTAATCATCGTCTCGTGTAAATAACGAAATTTCTGGCTCGCAGGAAAAAAATGGTAGCATGCAGCTTACCATCGCTTAAGAAGGATTTATTGCTGCGCAATATACGCGATGTTTAGAGCTAACGAAAACGTTGTGTACCATGATAATCCAATGCTCTTTGCTATTGGAACTTTTTTTAATACCGTTCTTTCAAAACGCGATTTTAATTCAGTTATAAAATAATCCTTCAAAAAAACACAGAAATACGTTCCGCATATCAGAATGTCACGTAGTAATAAACCAAATTCAGAGCTTGCGCGAATCTGTGGAAAGATTTGGTTGATTTGCTCCACGGAAAAGCGAAAATGAAAATTTTGTTTAAGGAAGGAAATAAGAATTAATACTGAATATTAGAAGAGAGAAAAGAGAGAATTAAGTATAATGCACAATGAAAGAAATAAAAGATATTATTATAAGAATTGCTTTATATAGTGGCAACCCACAAATATTTATATTTTAGCTTGTGAATTAAAGGAATGTGGATTTAATATTTTCTTATTTCAACTAATCCAATCCAAAGTAATAAAATAAAATGAAATAACATACGAGTAAACGATCAGAAACTGATAACACATCTTCATGTATTTCTTGTATATAATGTTACAAAATGCAATTTTTATCTTTTCTTAATGGGTTTAATATAATTGCTTTAATACGATATACAGGACTATACAATATAAAATTGTTAAATTATATCAATATAAATATTCTTTGTTTATTAACAAAGTAGTCGAAGAGAGACAGTTTTGCTATAACTATAAGGATAGCGAGTCATTATTTGTCATCTGAGGATTTATCATCTCAGGGTGAAAGGGAACCTTCAGATTTAATATCATATTCCGACCAAACGTAATTCTGATAAACATCAGTCGGAGACGAACATGATTCCGTCGAAGAGGAATTCTCAACTTTTACAGATTCTCCGAAATTTTTCGTAGGTGTAGGGGTAGTTTGAGATGAAGATGACGAAGAAGGCAAATTCTCAACTTTTATAGGTTCTTCTGGAATAACTTTGTCTTCGGTACTATCTTTCTTTTCTGACTCTGAAGGTTCACTACAGGGTGCCTCGCGCAAAGAATCCATAATGCCATGTCTCTTCTTAAACTTGTACAGCCAGCCCGCAGGACGCTTGATACTGAGTCTCATACGTCAGGGGTGGGCAAAATGCTGCCCGCGGGCAACGGGCGCCCGCGGGCGCCCGCGGGCATGCCCGCGGGCATGCCCCCACTCCAATCATCGCCCCACCACGTCTCAATCATATTCGGAACTATACTTCTAAAGCGCGACGTTCTTTCCCACTTACGAAACTGTCTCCCCACTCTTGCCGAAACTGTCTCCCCACTCTTGCCCGACACGCACAGCTATTGCCCGCGGGCAAACGGGCGCCCGCGGGCAGTGAAAATTGCCCAGGCCTGTCATACGTGTAACAAGAGCACTAAACTCCGATCTCAACTGGTGCTGTTGTACATTAATACCACTGGCTCTTTGTTGACTATACCACTTATACAGAGCTTTATCTAAATTTGTATATGGCCTAAATTCCATGCGTCTTTTATTCCCTACTGTAGAAGCATGTAATTTAGAGCTATCACTATTGTGTGTTAAAAAAAAATTTTGTAATTTGGACTTTGATTTCCTGATTTTCGAGACAGTATTTGGGTGTATGCCATACATGTTACAAACATCCGTAACTGAGGCGCCTTGTTCCAACTTCTCGATTAGCTTTAATTTCTGCGCCACACTCAAGAACACGCGTTTTCTCTTCACCTTGTTATTGTTTGGTGCCATTTTAAACTGTAAGAATTGCAAAATTATTATTTCATAATAAAAATTATTTAGGAAATAACTTACAATTTAGAAATCGCAGAAAAATTCTGTGTACAAGATGAAGACTTTGAGGTAGACTGAAATCAAAACAAAGTATGTTTATTCCACGCTACCCAAAACAAATGTGATATGATCCGCACACGTATCGACACTTAAGGTGCATACACATGTACCCTGTTTGTATTGGTCCAGTTTGTTCGAAAATCCCTAAAACAAATTAAGACTTAAGGACCGGCACGCAACAGAGGCAAAATATTAGGAATAAGAATTAATATTGAATATTAGAAGGGAGAAAGGAGATAAATTAAGTATAATGCACAATGAAATGTGCACAATGATAGACAAAATATATATTACTAGAAGAATTGCGTTATGTAGTGGCAACCCACAAATATTTATATTTCAGCTTGTGAATTAAAGGAATGTGGATTTAATATTTTCCTATTTCAACTAATCCAATCCAAAGTAATGAAATAAAATGAAATAACATACGAGTAAACGATCAGAAACTGATAACACATCTTCATGTATTTCTTGTATATAATGTTATAAAATGCCACTTTTATCTTTCATTAATGCGTTTAATATACAAAATTGTTTCAATATGATACACAGGACTATTCAATATAAAATTGTTAAATTATATCAATATTAATATTCTTTGTTTATTAACAAAGTAGTCCAAGAGAAACAGATTTGCTGTAACTATAGTGATAGCGAGCCATTATTTGTCATCTGAGGATTTATCATCTCAAGGTGAAAGGGAACCTTCAGATTTAATATCATATTCTGACCAAACGTAATTCTGATAAATATCAGTCGGAGACGAACATGATTCCGAAGAGGAATTCTCAACTTTTATAGATTCTCCGAAATTTTTTGTAGGTGTAGGGGTAGTTTGAGGTGAAGATGACGAAGAAGGCAAATTCTCAACTTTTATAGGTTCTTCTGGAATAACTTTGTCTTCGGTATTGTTTTTCTTTTCTGCATCTGAAGGTTCACTACAGGGTGTCTCGCGCAAAGAATCCATAATGCCATGTCTCTTTTTAAAACGATACAGCCACTGAGTAGTATCCTTGATATTGAGTCCCATACGTGTTAGAAGAGCATTAAACTCCGATCTCAACTGGAGCTGTTGTACATTAATACCACTGGATCTTTGTTGATTATACCACTTATACAGAGCTTTATCTAAATTTGCGTTTTTCGAATGTTGCAAGCGTTTTTTATTCCTTATTGTTGAAGCATTTAATTTAGAAATGTTGCGATGAGTAGAAGTAGTTGGAGGCGAAGATGACGGAGAAGGCAAATTCTCAACTTTTATAAGTTCTTCTGGAATAACTTTGTCTTCGGTACTGTTTTTCTTTTCTGACTCTGAAGGTTCACTACAGGGTGCATCGCGCAAAGATACCATAATGCCATGTCTCATTTTAAACTCGTGCAGCCACTGATAAGTATGTTTCATACTGACTCCCATACGTGTTACAAGAGCACTAAACTCCGATCTCAACTGGTGCTGTTGTACATTAATACCACTAGATCTTTGTTGACTATACCACTTATACAGAGCTGTATCTAAATTTGTATATGGCCCAAAATCAATGAGTCTTTTATTCCCTACTGTAGAAGCATGAAAGTTAGAGCTATCAATATTGTGTGTTAAAAAAAACTTTTGTAATTTGGGCTTTGATTTCCTGATATTCGAGACAGTATTTCGGTGCATGCCATACATGTTACAAACATCCGTCACTGAGATCACGCCTTGTTCCAACTTCTCGATTAGCTTTAATTTCTGCGCCACACTCAACTCCACGCGTTTTCTTTTCACCTTCTTATTGTTTGGTGCCATTTTAAACTGTAAGGATTGCAAAATTATTATTTCATAATAAAAATTATTTAGGAAATAACTTACAATTTAGAAATCGCAGAAAAATTCTGTGTATAACATGAAGACTTTGAGGTAGACTGAAATCAAAACAAAGTATGTTTATTCCACGCTACCCAAAACAAATGTGATATGATCCGCACACGTATCGACACTTAAGGTGCATACACATGTACCCTGTTTGTATTGGTCCAGTTTGTGCGAAAATCCCTAAAACAAATTAAGACTTAAGGACCGGCACGCAACAGAGGCAAAATATTGGGAATAAGATTTAATATTGAATATTAGAAGGGAGAAAGGAGAGAAATTAAGTATAATGCACAATGAAATGTGCACAATGATAGACAAAATATATATTACTAGAAGAATTGCGTTATGTAGTGGTAACCCACCAATATTTATATTTCAGTTTGAGAATTTAAACAATGTGAATGTAATATTATTCCATTTCAAATAATCCAATCCATAGTAATTAAACAACACACAAGTAAAGGCTGTGAAACTTATAACATCGTAATGTATTTCTTGTATATAATGTTACAAAATGCAATTTTTATCTTTTCTTAATGGGTTTAATATAATTGCTTGAATATGGTATACAGAACTATATAATACAAAATTGTGAAATTATATCATTGTAAATACTCTTTGTTGATTAAGAAAGTAATCGAAGAGGGACAGTTTTGCTGTAACTTTAGTGATAGCAAGTCTTTATTTGTCATCTGAGGATTTATCATCTGAAGGTGAAGGGGAACCTTCAGATTTAATATCATATTCTGACCAAACGTAATTGTGATAAATATCAGCTGGAGACGAACATGATTCTGAAGAAAAATTTTCAACTTTTACAGATTCTCCGAAATTTTTGGTAGGTGTTGAAGTAGTTGGAGGTGAAGATGGCGAAGAAGGCAGATTCTCAACTTTTATAGGTTCTTCTGGAAGAACTTGGTCTTCGGTACCATTTTTCTTTTCTGACTCTGAAGGTTCACTACAGGGTTCCTCGCACGAAGAAATAATAATGCCATGTCTCTTTTTAAAACGCTGCACCCACTGATTAGTTTCCTTGATATTGAGTCTCATACGTGTTACAAGAACATTAAACTCCGATCTCAACTGGAGCTGTTGTACATTAATACCACTGGATCTTTTTTGACTATACCACCCATACAGAGCTTTACCTAAATTTTTTTTTGGCCCAAAATTCATGCGTATTTTATTCCCTATTGTAGAAGCATGTAATTTAGAGCTATCAATATTGTGTGTTAAAAAAAACTTTTGTAATTTGGGCTTTGATTTCCTGATATTCGAGACAGTATTTGGGTGCATGCCGTACATGTTACAAACATCCGTCACTGAGATCACGCCTTGTTCCAACTTCTCGATTAGCTTTAATTTCTGCGCCACACTCAACTCCACGCGTTTTCTCTTCACCTTCTTATTGTTTGGTGCCATTTTAAACTGTAAGGATTGCAAAATTATTATTTCATAATAAAAATTATTTAGAAAATAACTTACAATTTATAAATAGCAGAAAACTCTGTGTACAACATGAAAACTTTGAGGCAGACTGAAATCGAAACAAAAAATGTTTTATTCCACGCTACACAAAACAAATGTGATATGAGATCGCACGTATTGGAACTTAAGATTCATACATATGTACCATGTTTTTATTTGTTAGGTTCATTTAAAAATCCCTAAAACAAATCAAGGCCTAAGGGCCGGCACGCAATAGAGACAAAATATTAGGAATAAGAATTAATATTGAATATTAGAAGGGAGAAAGGAGAGAAATTAAGTATAATGCACAATGAAATGTGCACAATGATAGGCAAAATATATATTACTAGAAGAATTGCGTTATGTAGTGGTAACCCACAAATATTTATATTTCAGTTTGAGAATTTAAACAATGTGAATGTAATATTACTCCATTTCAAATAATCC